AGAAAATTCATTTTTACTTCTATAGATTTTTATACTTTTTTTGTAGGTATTCATTCTTGATTATAATTACCTTTTATCAGTGATTTGGTGAGGATTTTAAAATATATTTATATCTGGGTAGTTTACAAAGATGGGAAAAAGTGGTGAAGTTCATATTTTTACATCATTGCAAAATCAATGTGATTATATTCCAAAAATTCCACAGGAGTGAGATTGCAGGCTCATTCTTAGTGATTGTGTAGAAGAGAAGCTACAGAACTGCAAAGCTGCAGCAACCACATGGGAATATCAGGGAAACATCAACACCCAGGCAGGTCAGTAGGCTCCCCACCCACCACTTTCCCTGCCCCAGAGGGAGGTCTGCTTTGTCCCTTGTAATGGCAGTGGAGGGGAGGGGGGAAGGGGGCAGGGTTGGAACTAGGCCTTGGAGTCCCATCTGTCTGTCATCTGTCACCTCAGGTAAGTTGCTCTGGCCAAGTAACATATTGTGCCTTATTTCTTCATTGGAAAGGTGGAGATGATGATGTGACTCAAATAAATTGAGGAACACAAAAGTATAGAACAGTGCAGGTCACAAAATAAGAGTTTGTTGGTTTCATACAACTCTTGTCTCTCCTCTCTTAGTCCTTGGTATAAGGGAGGAATTCCAGATGAAGAAGGAAGGTGTCTGGGATCTGGTCCTAACTTTGATTCCTACTAGCTTTGTGACCTGACTGCACCTGGGGACATGGTTTCCTTGTCAATGCCATGAGGGACTTGTTCAGGAGGTTCCCTTCTCCCATTCACCTCTCTCATTCTGTGGTTTTGCCCGAGTATCTGACAAAACCCTAATAACTGAGTTATTTTTTTAATGTGGTATTACATTTTAATAAAATATCAAGACAAAGCATCCAGAAGCCAACTAAAGTGAATGCTAGAAATATCCTCAAATCATCTTTTCAGGGATGCTTCTGAAAGAAGTGTTCTCGTCAAAATTCTGATGGACAGAGTGGGAAAAATTTTGCTTTTTTTTAAAAGGTTAAGGAAACCAGGGGATAGTTTTTTTCGGTTTTTTTTTTTTGGGTTTTGGTTTTTTTTTTGGGACTTTTCGGTTGAAAGGGGGGCAGATGAGGGGAGGGGAGGAGGAAGAGGCAAAAGGAGAGCCAGAGAAATTAGGTACAACGTGTGTGTTATAAATGGTTGTTATTTTAAGGAAATTTATTCTGACCGATTTTGTTCAGATAAATTAACAAACATCCAGAAACAATCGGCCCAACTTTTTATTTTATTTTTTAATTTCCATTATAGACCTAATCGGAATATTCAGGTTGTATTGAACGAGTTTCCAGTGTAATGACTGTCTCTGTCTTCCCCAATGTTATTGTTAAATATTAGCCACTCATCTGGCTGGGAATATAGCTCAGTTGGTAGAGTGCTTGCCTGGCATGCACAAGGCCCTGGGTTCAACTCCAGCTCTGCAAAAAAAAAAAAAAAAAAAAAAAAAGAAAAAATTAGCCACTTGTCCTGCTCAGCCTCCTTGCTTGAAGATGTTAATATATAATATATTGTATATTTTCCATTGGAAAAACAAAGGGCAGCACATGGGAAAAGATGTAAAAAAATACTTTGTGTAATTATTTTATGAATGAGTCTGAGAAATTGGAAATAAGAAAAGTCCACTAACTCGGCCAGAACTCTGATGTCTAGTGCTGCGTATTTTCAAGTGGTTTGTCTGGTCTAGTTTTTAGTGACTCAAGTTGCAGGGAACTTACCCTTTTCCTAGTGGAGACTGTGTTGCTTCTAGGAAAGTTTGTCAAATTCCCCTTGCTTTGTTTGATTGTCTCGTCAGTCTGCTTTGATTTGGCTCAGTCAATTGCTTATCTTTAGTTCTTCATTACTTTCTTTGTGTCCTTTCTTTCTTTTCCTTCAGCCTTCCTGTCTTTACTTGTTGCCAGGAATAGGTGAGCAGTAACTAATTTATGCATCAATAAATTAGCAGCAGCAGCATCACCATGAATCGAGCACTTACTGTTATCAAGTGTTAGGCTACGTACTTGGCATGTATTATTTCAGTTCTTAAGCAACTACTATCTGCCAGACACTGGGAGTACAAAGATAAATATTCTGCGATTATTGTCCAGGAGCTTCCCAACTAGGGAGATTAGCATTTAAACAGAAATGTCAACACAGGGACACTGTGCACAGGGCTATCTTCAGTCACACTGGAACTTGGGGTTGGAGCAGGGAGGTTCTCCAGAAGTAGAGAGCAAGAGCAGAGGCCAGGTGGGGTGAAAGGGACATAAAATAGAGGAGATGCTCCCTAGGATGAATTCCTAAAAGAGTAGGAGTTGACTTGGCCAAAAGAGGACTGCAATACTGGAAAGAATCGTTCCTCAGGAAACTACAAGGTGTTCCATGTATTCAGGTTGAAAAACATGAGAATTATTGGGAGATCACATCCTACGTCCTAGCAGAGGTAGCACATCTCATCACTTCCACCACGTCATACTTATTAGAATCATCCCTGAATCTGGTTTACATCAAGGAAGCGGGAGGATTTTACTCCACCTTTCCAAGGAATTTCAAAGAATTTCAGAAACACTTTTGAAGCACCACACTGTGACCTTGGGTGATTTATTTAAAGATCTCTGTGCTTCATCAGTTTCTTCATCAGTAAGATAGAAATAATACTAGTATCTGCCTGACAGAATAACAATGAAACCATGTCCTATCCAGACCTCAGGACAATGCAGGGCTTGTATTCAATAAGTAGGGCAGCTGTTGTGCTGATTGCTAACTTTACTCTGGACCCCTCTGGCCTGTGATGGACTAATTTGGAGGCAAACATAATAGAGTCTGGGATCCTGTATGGAGGGTGGCCTTCAATTCCTGTGACAGCCCTGTTTCCATGCCCTTCGGTTGGGCTTCTGTGAACTTGGATCCTGTTCTGGCCTGGGCTGGGTATCCAGGATGGGTGGTGTGCATTTTTCTGTGTTACAAAGCCTTGTTACTCTTTTCTTACCAGAGGATGTGGTCTGGAAAGGGGCCAGCCAGGCTGCACCACTTCTCAGGTTCAACAGCAGGGACGAGAAAGACCAAATGGCGCCCAGGGGTCCTGCTGAAGTCAGAGGTAGAAATCTCAGCTACAGGCTCCAGGGGACATCCAGGAGGCCTTGAAGAGATCCTTTCAGATTCTTTGTGTGACTTCGCTGAACAAGGATCTCTCCAGTGACGATCTGACCTGAAGTCACCTCAGAAAGGTGTGTCTCTGACATCTGAGGAAATGGACCAGAGTCGGAAACCAGCTTGTTTCCCCCACCTCCACGTCACCTCTGAGAACTGAACCATCAGGTACAAATATTGAAAGAATCGTTCAAGAATCTGGCTACCAAATAAGTCCATAGGGGTGTCATCCTAGACTAATCAAATTAACAAATATTCATTAGGGAGGTATTAGGAGCAAGGCATAGTATCTGCTCATCTGGAAGAAACTTTCTGTTGGCCAGGCAATACGTTTATAACCCATGTAGAATCTTAGATTAGCCCCTATCTGCTGTAGTCAAAATCCACGGTGATGTCCCAAGAATATGTGTCATTAAGTCGAATAGTGAGAGTTTCAAATATTTGAACTGTAAATACCATGCAATCTCATTGGAAACCAAAATCAGTACCTGCTCCTCCCAGGTACAGGTCTCGCACCAGCAGGCTTACTTTCAAGAAGAAGAAGAAATTCTCAAGCATCAGGATCACCCATTTCCTGATATCTAATCAAGTTAGATTTAAATGTTCACAACTTTTGCTTTTTTTAATCTTAATTTTATTTTTTATCGGTGCATTATAATTATACAAGACAGTGGGATTCAATATGCTGTATTGTACATGCACCTACATAATTTGATCCATTCCACTCCCCAGTACCTTCCCTTGCTTTTGAATGTATAAAACAAGGCAATAAAAACCAAGATAATGAGGAAGCATAAATGTCACCCTCCAGTTGAACCCTTCCCTGAAAGAAATGGCCCTTCTATCTGAGGTTGAAGTCATCCACAGATATTAATACAACAAATGAAAGTGACTACTTCTGTTCAGGTGTCCATATTAATATGGAAGAAATGAGAAAAGAGATCCCATGGTTTCTTAATGCATGACCCTCTCAGTGAACCAAATAGAAGACAGCTTTAGGATAAATGTATGGATATTTCATAGACCCTCTATTATCTATTATTTAGAGAGGTCTGGGGACATTGGACGTGGAAGATTGTAATCAAGTTAAAGCCCATAATTTTTCAGGCCAGTTTACCTTTTCAAAATGGATGAAAAGCCACCTACTTTTCCCTTGTGTTTATTCATATGAAAGAATCCCACACCAGGAACCAGGCAGAGAGACAAAGATAAGAGCTTGTCTTTCCCTTGCACAAAAGTCTGCACAAGAAAAGGCACATGGCCCTCAGCACCAAGCGCAGATGCACAGCCGTGAACCACATGGCTTTCTTTTCTTCTTGGAAAATGGTCTCAAATGAGTCTAGGACATTAGGTGAACTGCTGCTAACTAAGTAAAAAGTTCATTACTCTGCAACAGTGAATGCCATTGAGTTATATCAGCAGTTCTGAATTCTTTTTCCTCCAAGGACCCCATTTGGCCTCAAATTCTCTTTCTCAACCCCTCCTCCTCTCTCTTAAAAATGTTTCCTATTCACTGTGAGGCTCTCATCCAAGGAAAATAGAGGGAGGTGAAGGGCCCCAGGGTGGGACAGCGACACGAAGGGGAGCTGTTTTAGAGAAGAGAAGGGGAGGGGAGGGCTGCCCCCATAGACACTTACAAGAGAGCTGCTGGACTTTAACAGTATTTTTTTTCTTTTTTTGGCAAACATCAAATTAGGTCCAAGCATTCATCCAATTCACAGGAACATGCAAAACCCAGCTGACAGGTTAGAAAAGAGAGATTTTCAATTTTTAAAAATTAATTGTTCCCCTAAAAATATGAAATGAGTGTGGGCTACAGAAAAGGAAAAAAATAGCTAATAAGGTAATGAGGTTTTTTTTTTTTTTTTATATAAACATTATTTTTATTTGTAACTTGTCTTTTTTTTTTTTTTTTTTTTTTTGGTGGTTTCAGAAACTGGCTGGAAAAGAATGATTTTATATTTCGATGCAGTCTGTGATAGCTGAATAACCTTCTTATTTTGACTCACATCTCCACACAATGCAGGCTTTCATCCTATGAAGAGCCCCAGCAAAGGGTTTTGGGCCATTTTCTCTTTTTATTCATTTGTAAGCCCCATCTCTCCCCCCGTTCATTCCCCCATTTCCTCTGTCTGGGTTTGAATAGCTGAAGTGCGCCCACAATATGTATGTACTAGACGCTTTGCTACCAAAAGCACCTGTCGGGGTCACCAGCCTCCTGAGTCCCCCCCATGGACACTGGCTTAAATCTTTGAGTGCAAAACATCCAAATACATTTTTTCCAATACTTTTAACAAATGCATTTGTGCATTAGAAATATCCTAACGAATGGTTTTAATAATACTTTTAGAAGTGGAAAGAAAATAAAGCCTCTCATATTTTGTGAAGTTTCATAATTTTCTTTCTACTCTCCCTTTCTGCTTGGACCCTTTCCCTGTGTGTTCTTAGCATTAAGATGTGAACTTGTTCTTTCCCACATGAGCCAGTGGGAGATGGGATTTTTAACTGATTTTAAATCTAAGCCTGAAAGTATCTTCAGACTTTGTGGTCACAAGAGTAGCAACCACACATATTGGGCAAAGGAGAACACACTACCCAGTATATAGAAATGCATAAGGATAAGATGCTTTGTGTTTCTAAAAACTCTTTCTTCTCAAGAGGCAGTGAATTGTCAGAGTTGGTCTCCAGAATTCTGCCTCCAGCCCACATGGAGTATAGGGACTAGCTGTACCCTACTGCCTGAAATAACCAAATATCTGAAAAAAAAATTATTTGAAATAATAATTTCAAGATACTGGACAATAAATAACCTAAAGCAGATGCAGTTATTTTAGTTAGAAGTTTTAATTAGGGCTAGCAGCAAAAGGGTTTCATTGCTTCTTTGGTGTGATGTGGGTGCTAGTTTGTAGGAACCTGTGGATACCCCTACTTTCATATGGGTCAGACAGGGGTCCTCCCTAAATATTGTGTGCTGTGGTTCTGCAAAGAGTACATCAGAAATGGATTTGGCAGAGAAAAATAAACCTCCGTCTCTGTTTCATTTTCATCTGGACGGAGTCTTCTGACAGAAACATAGCTAAACAAAAGTGTAGGCTAAACCTGCCTTTGAACATGAGCATGAACCAATCATGTCTGAAATCACAGAAGATAGGAACCACAGACCTTAGAGGCTGCTGATTTCCCTCATTACAATAGGGATTGGTGATGATCCCCTTAGGGGCAGCTCCTGGGCCGTGATGCTTTCCAGCCTCTGAGCTTCTTTCTCCTGATAGACAGGTTCAAACCTAAGATTTCGAATCCAGGTTTTATAAGAAAGTGTGATTTGGGAGAGGGCCTCCAGGATGTTGCTAACCTGCTGTCTTGAGCCAGGCGATAGATTCATGGGTGTGTTTGATGATCATTCATCAAGCTGTGCATTCACGACTGTGTACTTTTTAAAACCTGATGCATTATTATACATGGTGAGATTGTTATTTATTCACACATTCACAAAACATAATTTGGCCACCTTTTCCCCCAGTATCTTCCTTTCCCTCCCCTCTTCCTTCCCCCTCGCTTCCCTCCTCCTCCTTACTGATCTACCTTGTGCTTCACTGTGAACTTTTCTAGGCATACAGTACAATCCAATAAAAGGCTACATAAATAAGCACGATGGTTTGCATTGACTTAGTCTTTTTCTTTTTTTCATGGATCCTGTTTTGAGCTAGTTATTACTTTGAATAGAAGAATACTATAGTGAAGCTTAAGCTGTGATCAGCTCATATTTCTAATGGGGATCTTAGAGGCCATATATATTTTCAGCTAACAAATAAAAACTCATTCTTTTCATTCCTGCAGGTGGAGACAAAGCTATATCATTCAATTCTAAGCCCTTTGTTAAGAAATCTTTACTTCCAACTAGAAATAAGTTATTGTCCTTGACAAGAGCATGGCGGTCACAGGGCTAGTGGGTTATTATTTAGAAATTTGCTGATGCTCAGCAGCACAAAGGCCTGGAATTTTTAATAACTAACATTTGTTTGTTCATTTTTTTTCTAGTTTTCTTTTTTTTCCATTCTTAATGTCATAACTGAACACAATACCTTATTTTAAAATTGATTTACTCTCTTCTGTTTCATGTTAAATTTTCATAGTCAGGAACTGTGTTTTCTATTTTAAAATGGTGTTATAGTTGGCAGAGTTACTCATGTGCTTGTGAGATTGAAAAGGACAGTACTTCCCAGAGGCCTTCTTAGACTAGATATCAATTCAAACTAACCTTGAGGAACCAGATAGTCTATATCATGAAATAGAGCCTCCAATTCAGACTCTGACTCCACACCAGCAAACCACCCAGAATCTGACTCAGTTTAATCCCAGGACATTATATATCTGTCAGCCTGTGTCCTCCATCCTTAGTCTAGGAATGGCCATATACAATTCTAACACAATTCTCATGTAGAAGTCTAACTTCTGATTTTACTGAGAGGGGTTTTCATTCCCCTTATGTTGAAGATCTTTTTTGGGAAAAAAAAAATACAACCCCACCCAAAGTGAGATAATCTTTCATTCTAACTTAGAGGAAGTGGAAACTGGACTGGAAGTGGCCCAAAACTGTTTGGATTCTGGGGCAAGAACATGATGTGAAGCAAACTGGTGGCAGCATGGCTTACTCTGCTTATTTTATGGTCCACTCCAGGCAGAATGTCAGACATTTAGGAGGGCCCAAGAAGAATATGCCTGGAGGAATTGCATTACCTTCACAGCAAGCCAAGAGCTTCTGCTCATGGAATTCAGGAGCTGCCCGTAAGCCGCAGTCAGACTAGGTCCAAACACAGCCCACCTGACATCACCTGCAGAGCTCAGGTTCAGGATCTCTACAGGAGCATCTCTTGAGAGTAACTGCTATAGTTTGGATCTTAAATATCCCCCAGGTGTTCATGTATTAAAGACTTGGTTGTGTGGGCTGGGGATGTGCTCAAGCGGTAACGTGCTTGCCTGGCATGCGCCGGGTGCTGGGTTCGATCCTCAGCACCACATAAAATAAAATAAAGATGTTGTGTCCACCAAAAACTGAAAAATAAATACTAAAAAAAAATTCTCTCTCTCTCTCTTCTCTATCTCTCTCTCTCTCTTAAAAAAAAAAAAAGACTTGATTGTCACCACACCCTGTTCCCCATGGCATTATT